CGCTAGGCCCTTGTACTTGCAATTTTGCATGCTCTAGGCCCTTGTTCTTGCAATTTTGCACACGCTAGGCCCTTGTTCTAGCAATTTTGCACACGGTAGGCCCTTGTTCTTGCAATTTTGCATACGCTAGGCCCTAGTTCTTGCAATTTTGCACACGCTAGGCCCTTGTTCTTGCAATTTTGCTCACGCTAGGCCCTTGTTCTTGCAATTTTGCACATGCTAGGCCCTTGTTCTTGCAATTTTGCACACGCTAGGCCCTTGTTCTTGCAATTTTGCTCACGCTAGGCCCTTATTCTTGCAATTTTGCACACGCTAGGCCCTTGTTCTAGCAATTTTGCACACGCTAGGCCCTTGTCCTTGCAATTTTGCATACGCTAGGCCCTAATTCTTGCAATTTTGCACACGCTAGGCCCTTGTTCTAGCAATTTTGCACACGCTAGGCCCTTGTTCTTGCAATTTTGCATACGCTAGGCCCTAATTCTTGCAATTTTGCACACGCTAGGCCTTTGTTCTTCCAATTTTGCTCATGCTAGGCCCGTGTTCTTGCAATTTTGCACACGCTAGGCCCTTGTTCTTGCAATTTTGCATACGCTAGCCCCTTGTTCTTGAAATTATGCACACCCTAGGACCTTATTCTTGCTATTCTGCACACGCCAGGCCTTGTTCTTGAAATTCTGCACATGCTAGGTCCTTGTTCTTGAAATTCTGCACACGCTAGGCCCTTGTTCTTGAAATTTTGCACGTGCTAGGCCCTTGTTCTTGAAATTTTGCACACGCTAGGCCCTTGTTCTCGCAATTTTGCACACGCTAGGCCTTTGTTCTTGCAATTTCGCACACGTTAGGCCCTTGTTCTTGCAATTTTGCACGCGCCAGGCCCTTGTTCTTGCAATTTTGCACACACTAGGCCCTTGTTCTTGCATATTTACGCACGCTAGGCCCTTGTTCTTACAATTTTGCATACGCTAGGCCCTTTTTCTTGCAATTTTGCACACGCTAGGCCCTTGTTATTGCAATTTTGCACTCGCTAGGCCCTTGTTCTGGCATTTTTGCACACGCTAGGCCCTTAATCTGGCAATTTTGCACACGCTAGGCCCTTGTTCTTGCAATTTTGCACATGCTAGGCCCTTGTTCTTGCGATTTTGCAAACGCTAGGCCCTTGTTTTAGCAATTTTGCATACGCTAGGCCCTTGTTCTTGCAATTTTGCACACGCTAGGCCCTTGTTCTTGCAATTTCGCACACGCTAGGCCCTTGTTTTTGCAATTTTGCACATGCTAGGCCCTTGTTCTTGCAATTTTGCACTCGCAAGGCCCTTGTTCTGGCTGTTTTGCACACGCTAGGCCCTTCTTCTGGCAATTTTGCACACGCTAAGCCCTTGTTCTTGCAATTTTGCACACGATAGGGCCTGGTTCTTGCAGTTTTGCACTCGCTAGGCCCTTGTTCTGGCAATATTGCACACGCTAGGCCCTTGTTCTGGAAATTTTGCACACACTAGCCTCTTGTTCTTGCAATTTTGCACACGTTAGGCCCTTGCTCTTGCAGTTTTGCACTCGCTAGGCCCTTCTTCTGGCAATTTTGCACACGCTAGGCCCTTGTTCTGGCAATTTTGCACATGCTAGGCCCTTGTTCTTGTAATTTAGCACATGCAGGGCCCTTGTTCTTGCAATTTTGCACACGCTAGGCCCTTGTTCTTGCAATTTTGCGCACGCTGGGCCCTTTTTCTTGCAATTTTGCACTCACTAGGCCCTTGATCTTGCAATTTTGCACTCGCTAGGCCCTTGTTCTTGAAATTTTGCACTCACCAGGCCCTTGTTCTTGCAATTTTGCACTCGCTAAACACTTGTTCTTGCAATTTTCCACTTGCTAGACACTTGTTCTTACTCTTTTGCACTCAATAGGCCATTGTTCTTGCAATTTTGCACTCGCTAGGCCCTTGTTCTTGCAATTTTTCACTCGCTAGACACTTGTTCTTGCAATTTTTCACTCGCTAGGCCCTTGTTCTTGCAATTTTGCTCTCACTAGGCCCTTATTCTTGCAATTTTGCACTCTCAAGGCCTTTGTTCTTGCAATTTTGCACTCGCTAGACACTTGTTCTTGCAATTTTGCACTCGCTATACACTCTTTCTTGCAGTTTTGCACTCGCTAGGCACTTGTTCTTGCAATTTAGCACTCGCTACACCCTTGTTCTTGCAATTGTGCACTCGCTAGACACTTGTTCTTGCAATTTAGCACTCGCTAGACCCTTGTTCTTGCACTTTTTGCACTCACTAGGCCTTGTTCTTGCAATTTTGCACTCGCTAGACACTTATTCTTGCAATTTTGCACTCGCTTGACACTTGTTCTTGCAATTTTGCACTCGCTAAACACTTGTTCTTGCAATTTTGCACATGCTAGGCCCTTGTTCCTGCAATTTTGCACACGCTAGGCCCTTGTTCTGGCAATTTTGCACACGCTAGGCCCTTGTTCTTGCAATTTTGCACATGCTAGGCCCTTGCTCTTGCAATTTTGCTCACGCTAGGCCCTTGTTCTTGCAATTTTGCACACGCTAGGCCCTTGTTCTAGCAATTTTGCACACGGTAGGCCCTTGTTCTTGCAATTTTGCATACGCTAGGCCCTAATTCTTGCAATTTTGCACACGCTAGGCCCTTGTTCTTGCAATTTTGCACACGATAGGCCCTTGTTCTTGCAATTTTGCACTCGTGAGGCCCTTGTTCTGGCAGTTTTGCACACGCAAGGCCCTTCTTCTCGCAATTTTGCACACGCTAAGCCCTTGTTCTTGCAATTTTGCACACGATAGGCCCTTGTTCTTGCAGTTTTGCACTCGCTAGGCCCTTGTTCTGGCAATTTTGCACACGCTAGGCCCTTGTTCTGGCAATTTTGCACACACTAGGCTCTTGTTCTTGCAATTTTGCAAACGATACGCCCTTGTTATTGCAGTTTTGCACTCGCTAGGCCCTTGTTCTGGCAATTTTGCACACGCTAGGCCCTTGTTCTGGCAATTTTGCGCATGCTAGGCCCTTGTCCTCGCAATTTTGCACACGCTAGGCCTTTGTTCTTGCAATTTTGCGCACGTTGGGCCCTATTTCTTGCATTTTTGCACTCACTAGGCCCTTGATCTTGCAATTTTGCACTCGCTAGGCCCTTGTTCTTCAAATTTTGCACTCACCAGGCCCTTGTTGTTGCAATTTTGCACTCGCTAAACACTTGTTCTTGCAATTTTCCACTCGCTAGACACTTGTTCTTGTTCTTTTGCACTCAATAGGCCCTTGTTCTTGCAATTTTGCACTCGCTAGGCCCTTGTTCTTGCAATTTTGCACTCGCTAGACACTTGTTCTTGCAATTTTTCACTCGCTAGGCCCTTGTTCTTGCAATTTTGCTCTCACTAGGCCCTTGTTCTTGCAATTTTGCACTCTCAAGGCCTTTGTTCTTGCAATTTTGCACTCGCTAGATACTTGTTCTTGCAATTTTGCACTCGCTATACACTATTTCTTGCAGTTTTGCACTCGCTAGGCACATGTTCTTGCAATTTAGCACTCGCTACACCCTTGTTCTTGCAATTGTGTACTCGCTAGACACTTGTTCCTGCAATTTAGCACTCGCTAGACCCTTGTTGTTGCAATTTTTGCACTCACTAGGCCCTTGTTCTTGCAATTTTGCACTCGCTAGACACTTATTCTTGCAATTTTGCACTCGCTTGACACTTGTTCTTGCAATTTTGCACTCGCTAGACACTTGTTCTTGCAATTTTGCACTCACTGGACTCTTGTTCTTGCAATTTTGCACTCGCTAGACACTTGTTCTTGGAGTTTTGCACTCGCTAGACACTTGTTCTTGAAATTTTGCACTCACTAGATACTTGTTCTTGCAATTTTGCAGTGGCTAGGCCCTTGTTCTTGTAATTTTGCACTCGCTAGACACTTTTTCTTGCAATTTTGCACTACCTAGGCACTTGTTCTTGCAATTTTGCACTCGCTAGACACTTGTTCTTGCAATTTTGCACTCGCTAGAGACTTGTTCTTGGAGTTTTGCACTCGCTAGACACTTGTTCTTGAAAGTTTGCACTCACTAGATACTTGTTCTTGCAATTTAGCAGTCGCTAGGCCCTTGTTCTTGCAATTTTGCACTCGCTAGACACTTTTTCTTGCAATTTTGCACTACCTAGGCACTTGTTCTTGCAATTTTGCACTCGCTAGACACTTGTTCTTGCAATTTTGCACTCGCTAGACACTTGTTCTTGGAGTTTTGCACTCGCTAGACACTTGTTCTTGAAATTTTGCATTCACTAGATACTTGTTCTTGCAATTTAGCAGTCGCTAGGCCCTTGTTCTTGCAATTTTGCACTCGCTAGACACTTTTTCTTGCAATTTTGCACTAGCTAGGCACTTGTTCTTGCAATTTTGCACTCGCTAGACACTTGTTCTTGCAATTTTGCACTCACCCCGCCCCATTCTCCCTCCTTCCATCACCCCACCCTATTCTCCCTCCTTCCATCACCCCGCTCCATTCTCCGTCCTTCCATCACCCCGCCCCATTCTCCTATTTTCCATCACTCCGCCCCATTCTCCCTCTTTCCATCACCCCGCCCCATTGTTGCGTTTTCCATCACCCTGCCCATTCTCCCTCTTTCCATTGCTCGTAGGTTTAATAGGTAGTAGTTTCTCAGCTTGCTCTAGAACCAGTTTGAGGGTCATTTGAGGTGGTCCAGTTTCAAATCCTATGATTCACTAACTTAGTTCTACAAAGAGGTAGCTTGTGCAGGCAAATATCCGGTCTGCCCTATTTTTCAGTCCTGTCATATTGGCACGCGTCTTGTAGCAATGGCATGCCGTTGTGGACTGAAGGCAAACCAGTGGTGTTCACAGTGGGAGAGGCTGCATGCTTATGGGTTGGAGTCACAAGAAGCTTTTCCATCTGCACTTGAAAGATGAGAAGGGGAAGACAAACAGGGCGAGACAAGCTGTGATAAGCCACAAGTTGTACAGCATCCCTGACAGGTTGGTGATCAGTTCCTGGTCTTGGCAAGCGTGGCTCTCACAGCACTGACCCGGGTGAGCAGTTGCTGCTGCTCTGCTGCCACATGCCGGCCCGCCTGCAGCGACTCCTCCAGTGACCCCAGCTGCACCCCCAGCTCGCCCACTGACGTCAGCAGCTCCTCTGCTATCACCTGCCGCTCCACCTGCCGCCTCATACGCCCCTCCCGCGCCACCACTTCCACCCCCCCCACATACGCCCCTCCCTCGCCACCTCCTACCACTGCATGCAACTCCACAGGCGACCCCTCTTGCTGCCTGCCGCCCTCACTCCCCACAACCCCCCTCAGAATCCGTTCCCGCTCCTCCGCTGCTGCTTCCACTGCCTCTTGCAACACCCTCTCCTGCTCCTTCCTCTCCTTCCCCCCCCCCTTCCTCCCACTGCCCTGCTCACTAGCGAGTGCAAAATTGCAAGAATTAGGGCCTAGCGTATGCAAAATTGCAAGAACAAGGGCCTACCGTGTGCAAAATTGCTAGAACAAGGGCCTAGCGTGTGCAAAATTGCAAGAACAAGGGCCTAGCGTGAGCAAAATTGCAAGAGCAAGGGCCTAGCATGTGCAAAATTGCAAGAACAAGGGCCTAGCGTGTGCAAAATTGCCAGAACAAGGGCCTAGCGTGTGCAAAATTGCAGGAACAAGGGCCTAGCATGTGCAAAATTGCAAGAACAAGTGTTTAGCGAGTGCAAAATTGCAAGAACAAGTGTCAAGCGAGTGCAAAATTGCAAGAATAAGTGTCTAGCGAGTGCAAAATTGCAAGAACAAGGCCTAGTGAGTGCAAAAAGTGCAAGAACAAGGGTCTAGCGAGTGCTAAATTGCAAGAACAAGTGTCTAGCGAGTGCACAATTGCAAGAACAAGGGTGTAGCGAGTGCTAAATTGCAAGAACAAGTGCCTAGCGAGTGCAAAACTGCAAGAAAGAGTGTATAGCGAGTGCAAAATTGCAAGAACAAGTGTCTAGCGAGTGCAAAATTGCAAGAACAAAGGCCTTGAGAGTGCAAAATTGCAAGAATAAGGGCCTAGTGAGAGCAAAATTGCAAGAACAAGGGCCTAGCGAGTGAAAAATTGCAAGAACAAGTGTCTAGCGAGTGAAAAATTGCAAGAACAAGGGCCTAGCGAGTGCAAAATTGCAAGAACAATGGCCTATTGAGTGCAAAAGAGTAAGAACAAGTGTCTAGCAAGTGGAAAATTGCAAGAACAAGTGTTTAGCGAGTGCAAAATTGCAAGAACAAGGGCCTGGTGAGTGCAAAATTTCAAGAACAAGGGCCTAGCGAGTGCAAAATTGCAAGATCAAGGGCCTAGTGAGTGCAAAATTGCAAGAAAAAGGGCCCAGCGTGCGCAAAATTGCAAGAACAAGGGCCTAGCGTGTGCAAAATTGCAAGAACAAGGGCCCTGCATGTGCTAAATTACAAGAACAAGGGCCTAGCATGTGCAAAATTGCCAGAACAAGGGCCTAGCGTGTGCAAAATTGCCAGAAGAAGGGCCTAGCGAGTGCAAAACTGCAAGAGCAAGGGCCTAACGTGTGCAAAATTGCAAGAACAAGAGGCTAGTGTGTGCAAAATTTCCAGAACAAGGGCCTAGCGTGTGCAATATTGCCAGAACAAGGGCCTAGCGAGTGCAAAACTGCAAGAACCAGGCCCTATCGTGTGCAAAATTGCAAGAACAAGGGCTTAGCGTGTGCAAAATTGCCAGAAGAAGGGCCTAGCGTGTGCAAAACAGCCAGAACAAGGGCCTTGCGAGTGCAAAATTGCAAGAACAAGGGCCTAGCATGTGCAAAATTGCAAAAACAAGGGCCTAGCGTGTGCGAAATTGCAAGAACAAGGGCCTAGCGTGTGCAAAATTGCAAGAACAAGGGCCTAGCGTATGCAAAATTGCTAAAACAAGGGCCTAGCGTTTGCAAAATCGCAAGAACAAGGGCCTAGCATGTGCAAAATTGCAAGAACAAGGGCCTAGCGTGTGCAAAATTGCCAGATTAAGGGCCTAGCGTGTGCAAAAATGCCAGAACAAGGGCCTAGCGAGTGCAAAATTGCAATAACAAGGGCCTAGCGTGTGCAAAATTGCAAGAAAAAGGGCCTAGCGTATGCAAAATTGTAAGAACAAGGGCCTAGCGTGCGTAAATATGCAAGAACAAGGGCCTAGTGTGTGCAAAATTGCAAGAACAAGGGCCTGGCGCGTGCAAAATTGCAAGAACAAGGGCCTAACGTGTGCGAAATTGCAAGAACAAAGGCCTAGCGTGTGCAAAATTGCGAGAACAAGGGCCTAGCGTGTGCAAAATTTCAAGAACAAGGGCCTAGCACGTGCAAAATTTCAAGAACAAGGGCCTAGCGTGTGCAGAATTTCAAGAACAAGGACCTAGCATGTGCAGAATTTCAAGAACAAGGCCTGGCGTGTGCAGAATAGCAAGAATAAGGTCCTAGGGTGTGCATAATTTCAAGAACAAGGGGCTAGCGTATGCAAAATTGCAAGAACAAGGGCCTAGCGTGTGCAAAATTGCAAGAACACGGGCCTAGCATGAGCAAAATTGGAAGAACAAAGGCCTAGCGTGTGCAAAATTGCAAGAATTAGGGCCTAGCGTATGCAAAATTGCAAGAACAAGGGCCTAGCGTGTGCAAAATTGCTAGAACAAGGGCCTAGCGTGTGCAAAATTGCAAGAATTAGGGCCTAGCGTATGCAAAATTGCAAGGACAAGGGCCTAGCGTGTGCAAAATTGCTAGAACAAGGGCCTAGCGTGTGCAAAATTGCAAGAATAAGGGCCTAGCGTGAGCAAAATTGCAAGAACAAGGGCCTAGCGTGTGCAAAATTGCAAGAACAAGGGCCTAGCATGTGCAAAATTGCAAGAACAAGGGCCTAGCGTGAGCAAAATTGCAAGAACAAGGGCCTAGCGTGTGCAAAATTGCAAGAACTAGGGCCTAGCGTATGCAAAATTGCAAGAACAAGGGCCTACCGTGTGCAAAATTGCTAGAACAAGGGCCTAGCGTGTGCAAAATTGCAAGAACAAGGGCCTAGAGCATGCAAAATTGCAAGAACAAGGGCCTAGCATGTGCAAAATTGCAAGTACAAGGGCCTAGCGTGTGCAAAATTGCCAGAACTGTTGAGTGATGCTACCATTCGCATTCACGTCTGTCTGCCTCCCATCATATGTTCGTGCGTTGCATGCGTGTTGTGAGTGTGTGCAAGAATTTGTGTTTTGTGCGGTTTGGTTTTTCTGAGTGTGTGTGTGAATGTTTTTTGGCTTGAGCAGATATCTGAAGTGACTCCTCTGCTCAAGAGCTTTCCGAGGAACCAAGTATCGCTTCAATCGGAGCACGAACAAGAAAGTTACGAACGTTGGAGTTCGTATGCTTTTGATATTTGGTTGTGGTGACTATGGGAAGTTGTGGGGTTGACTCAATATGGGGTACAGACTTTTGAGGGTTGGGAAATTTGTCTTTTCTACTGTAGTTGCTGCCAAATGGTTGGGAGAAACCAAACCAGGCTGGCAAGTGTGGCCAAGTTGGGTTGAGGTGGATTGTGGAGGTTGGGATAGTGACAAAGGTCAAAGTTCGGTTGCCTATGGGGAAGGGAATTGTATGGCATGGGGTTTTCTTGGTTGGGGACTCTCTTGGGACCTTCCCTCTCGTCCTCCTCATCCCTTCCACCTGGTTTAGTGCTACTCCAATTCTCTTGTGTGAACTTGTGTGAACTTTGTGATTGAGTTAAGATTTTATGGCAGCATACCCCCTAGTGCGCCGAAATTGATAGCTCAAGAAATACTTCATCTTTTCGCATGATTCAACTTGGGAATCGTAGCCACGGAGTAGAGCTACAACATATTCGAGTTTAATGAAGTTTTGACGGTGAACTTTTCGTCGACAGCGTTTCTTGTGAACTCGACTTTTCTGTTCAGAAACTAGGCCCAACGATGTTGAGATATTTTGGCTACTAATCTTCATAGACTCCGTCCTCAGTCTCTAACACGAAATTGCAAGAACAAGGGCCTAGCGTGTGCTAAATTGCAAGAACAAGGGCCTAGGGTGTGCAAAATTGCAAGAACAAGGGCCTAGCGTGTGCAAAATTGCAAGAACAAGGGCGTAGCGTGTGCAAAATTGCAAGAATAAGGGCGTAGCGTGTGCAAAATTGCAAGAACAAGGGCCTAGCGTGTGCAAAATTGCAAGAACAAGGGCCTAGCGTATGCGAAATTGCAAGAACAAGGGCCTAGCGTGTGCAAAATTGCAAGAACAAGGGCCTAGCGTGTGCAAAATTGCAAGAACAAGGGCCTAGCATGTGCAAAATTGCAAGAACAAGTGTCTAGCGAGTGCAAAATTGCAAGAACAAGTGTCAAGCGAGTGCAAAATTGCAAGAATAAGTGTCTAGCGAGTGCAAAATTGCAAGAACAAGGGCCTAGTGAGTGCAAAAATTGCAAGAACAAGGGTCTAGCGAGTGCTAAATTGCAAGAACAAGTGTCTAGCAAGTGCACAATTGCAAGAACAAGGGTGTAGCGAGTGCTAAATTGCAAGAACAAGTGCCTAGCGAGTGCAAAACTGCAATAAAGAGTGTATAGCGAGTGCAAAATTGCAAGAATAAGTATCTAGCGAGTGCAAAATTGCAAGAACAAAGGCCTTGAGAGTGCAAAATTGCAAGAACAAGGGCCTAGTGAGAGCAAAACTGCAAGAACAAGGGCCTAGCGAGTGAAAAATTGCAAGAACAAGTGTCTAGCGAGTGCACAATTGCAAGAACAAGGGCCTAGCGAGTGAAAAATTGCAAGAACAAGAGCCTATTGAGTGCAAAAGAGTAAGAACAAGTGTCTAGCGAGTGGAAAATTGCAAGAATAAGTGTTTAGCGAGTGCAAAATTGCAAGAACAAGGGCCTGGTGAGTGCAAAATTTCAAGAACTAGGGCCTAGCGAGTGCAAAATTGCAAGATCAAGGGCCTAGTGAGTGCAAAATTGCAAGAAAAAGGGCCCAGCGTGCGCAAAATTGCAAGAACAAGGGCCTAGCGTGTGCAAAATTGCAAGAACAAGGGCTCAGCATGTGCTAAAATACAAGAACAAGGGCCTAGCGTGTGCAAAATTGCCAGAACAAGGGCCTAGCGTGTGCAAAATTGCCAAAACAAGGGCCTAGCGAGTGCAAACCTGCAAGAACAAGGGCCTAACGTGTGCAAAATTGCAAGAACAAGAGCCTAGTGTGTGCAAAATTTCCAGAACAAGGGCCTAGCGTGTGCAAAATTGCCAGAACAAGGGCCTAGCGAGTGCAAAACTGCAAGAACCAGGGCCTATCGTGAACAAGGGCAAAATTTCAAGAACAAGTGCCTAGCGTGTGCGAAATTCCAAGAACAAGGGCCTAGCGTGTGCGAAATTGCAAGAACAAGGGCATAGGGTGTGCAAAATTGCAAGAACAAGGGCCTAGCGTGTGCAAAATTGCAAGAACAAGGGCCTAGGGTGTGCAAAATTGCAAGAACAAGGGCCTAGCGTGTACAAAATTGCAAGAACAAGGGCCTAGCGTGTGCGAAATTTCAAGAACAAGGGCCTAGCACGTGCAAAATTGCAAGAACAAGGGCCTACCGTTTGCAAAATTGTAAGAACAA